GCTTTGAGAACGTAACAGAAGACTTAAGTAGAAACATCGAAACAATCATGGCAGAATATAGAAGAGAAGCACCATAATGAGAATAAGGGGATTTGGGTAAAATCTACCTACTAAATGGTGAGACAGCCCTCTTTGAACCCCATAAGAATCTCTTTATATCACTTAACTTCAATAACAGTGGCAACCAGGATTATATTCTACAAGTAAGATATTGGAGGACTCTTCTCTAAGGAAACTGTATAGCCCTAGACATTTGTGGTCCAACAACATGATGGTCAGATCATCACCCTCTTTGTAAAATACAGCAGTTAACAAGCCTACCCATACAAACAGAGTTTCCAAGTATATTTCTAATACCTTACTTTTAAATGATAACACAGGTACAACAGTCATAGAAAGAACATTTCCAACATAAAAGTTAAAATGTGTAAAAAACAAAGACAGTGCAGGAAGAAGAACAATTCAAAAAAATTTATTCTCATCTGCAGAGTATGCGGAGTAGATATTGCATTAAAGAAAAAAGAACAAGATGCTGTTGTTTTTTTTTTAAAAAAAGGGGGGGGGACAACTGAAGTAAGAACACTCTTAAAAATTGAAACACAGCAGAAATAAAAAAATTAAATGTTTGAAATAGTGATTCATGGAAATAATATATAGTAGAATAAAAAACAAAGATGGGAGAATAAGAGCTAAAAATAAGGAGCTCAATCCACAAGATCCAATATCTGACCAACAGAATTTGCAGAAAGCACTATTAAATATGTCAGGGAGAAAGAACTGACAAGAGAAAATTACAAGAACATTAAAGATGTTTCCACATTGAAAGGACCTACTGAGTGCCCAGCACAATAAACGGAAAAAGACCAGTACCAAGGTGCATTATTGTAATTTCAAAATATCAAGGACAAATAGATTATCTTAAGGGTTTAAAGAGGAAACTAGAAAGCTCACATACAAAGAATCAAGAATTCATATAATATTAGAGTTCAATAGATAAAATAGCCAAAAGATAATAAAGTTTTTAAAATTCTGAGAGAAGAAAACTATATACAGCCTAAAATTATACCCTCTACCAAACTACTTTCAAACACATGGATGAAATAAACACATTCTCAGAAATGCAATGGTACAAAATGCACCACCTAAGTACACATTTTCAGGATGTTATTGGGTGTTATGCTCCACTCAAATAAGAAAACAGATGATGAAAAAGAAAAATGTGGTGGTGGGTGGGTGGATGGGAAGAGATCAACCAAAGAACTTGTATACCTATAAGCATAATCCATAGACACAGACAATAGTGTGGCGAAGGCCTGGGGGGATGGGCAAGAGGGGTCAATGGGGAAAACAAGGGGATATATGTAATACTTTCAACAATAAAGATTCTTTTTTTTTAAATCGTAGTTCCAAGACACTGTATCAAACACAGATGAGAGAAATCAACTCTACAGGAAATGTAGAGACTATCAATCCATAGTAGAACAGGACAATTTTAGCTTCCAGATGAAATATCTCAAAGTAAAAAAAAAAAATTGACTGGAGTATTTGGTGTATGTTTTGGAAAGTATTTTTCAAAGAAAATTTAGAATTCTTTTTGAGTAGCTGATAAGTATTAATGATAGTGACATAAAACAAGCAAGAAATGCTGTGCAGGAAAGAAAATATACATGTGCATGGCTCAGTGGTAAAAAAAAATACATAGCCATAGTAAGGTAAAATATAAATATTAATTTAACCAAAAACTTTGATAAAGCTATATTGAGAACAGAAAGAATATGGGGGAAAGGAGGCATATGATAGTATAAAAATGTTAAAACTTCACTATCATAAATAGGAAGTCAAAATAATATATAAGCATCCTATAGAATAAAGAGGCAATATGCAAATTGACCATCACACCCTCACACAAGATGGCTGCCCCCTTGTGGTCACAAGATGGCAACCACAAGATGGCCAGCAGGGGAGGGCAGTTAGGGGCAACCAGGCCTGCAGGGGAGGCCAGTTAGGGGTGACTGGGACTGCAGGGGAGGGCAGTTGGAGGAGACCAGGCTGGCAGGGGAGTGGTTAGGGGGTGATCAGGCTGGCAGGCAGAAGCAGGTTGGGGCAGTCAGACAGGCGAGCGGTTGGGAGCCAGCAGTCCTGTATTGTGAGAGGGATGTCTGACTGCCAGTTTAGGCCTGATCCCAAAGATTGGAGAGGGTGCAGGCTGGGCTGAGAGACAACCCCCCCCCCCCAGTGCATGAATTTTGTGCACTGGGCCTCTAGTATTATTAAGAAATATGGTGGTTAAAGCTAAGAGAAGATGCTAAAAGAGAGTTTGGGTAAAGGATTGAAGGAGTGGGTAAGATCAAGGGATACTATTTGTTGTTTTATGTTTTGTGGTAAAACTTGACTTTTAAAAATATACTTGTAGCCCTAGCCAGTTTGGCTCAGCGGATAGAGTGTTAGCCCACAGACCCAAGGGTCCTGAGTCCAATTCTGGTCAAGGGCATGTACCTCTGTTGCAGACTCTATCCCTGGAATGCAGCCAATCTATGTGTCTCTCTCACATCGATGTTTCTCTCTCTATCTACTTCCACTCTCTCTAAAAATCATTGGAAAAATATCCTTGGGTAAGGATTAACAATAAAAATAAAAACATACTTGTATTACTTTGACCTTTTTTAAGTTTCAAAAATGCTCATAAGTATAAATATATTTATTTCTGAGAAGTCTAATTTGGGATTGTCATTAGCTCAAATAGATATATTCAGCAGTATTAAATTAAGGTTGCAAATAATATTTGTGATATTTATAAAACCACAACTTCTCTGCGAATGTTTTTCTAATCTCCTGATTAAATGTTACATTTTTGTATGATGCCAACTTAACAAAAAAATCTATTTTAGGAAAAAAGTACTTCTACGTTTCTGATAGCATACTATTATTTTCATTTCTTTTTTATGCTCAAAAGTATCCAATTTTCTAAAGTCAAAGAAGTTTTTAAAAGTTTTTCTTTTTGTTAAGAACTCACAATAAAAGTTTATGGTTATAAAACAACAACTAATAATAATTATGATGTTCACCCTGAAATAAAAGAGTACACTTTGTAGTCCACAAATAAAATCTTAAGGTTGAAAGATATCTTTCATTTACGCTATTCACAAATATTCACCTTTACTAGTACTTATATCTTTCTTTGCCTGGATTTTTAATATTTTAATTATGATACATTTTGTAAATTATTAAACTCATAACATCAGATGATGGCAATTGTGATACAAGGGGCTGTGTAATGAAGTTTTGTTGTTGTTGTTGTTGTTGTTGTTGCTGTTGTTGACAGAGACGGACATAGATTCCAGTCTTAGCTGTTTGAGCCTGGGCAAGACCCTTCTTTCAGCCTCAGTTTCTTTATCTATAATACTTATCCTGCTTCCTTTTTAAAGAATTTGTAGATGTTACAGTCAAAATACCTGATCTCAAATCTTGATTCTTCCATTATTAGCCTGTAACTCTTGGGGTAGTTACTTTTATTCTCCCTAATCTTGGTTTCAGAAGTTCCATCATGGGCATAATTATAAAAAACTTGTAATGAGGAAGTGGTGAAGAAAATATATATTCTGCTACCACAGTGGCTAGTACATAATAAATTTCAGAAACTGTAATAGTAATAATAAGAAATTAAGAGATATAGTTTCTTTCCTCTTCATGACTACTTGAAGTAAACTAAAGTATCAGAAATGACTTGGTCAAGAATAATATTGCATGAAGTTACATGTGACATGTGATCTTATTTAACCTTTTCCCCATAAAGAGAATTACAAAATGCCTTTCAAGACACTTTAATTCATCAATGTGCTATTTGACAAAGTATTTATCTATCTGCTTTTCAGTTTGGTCAGTCAGATAGAGCACCACTCCTTTCTTTGTGCCTTCTCTCTACCTACATGTATTTCATTTATTTGTCTTTGTTTACTTGTCGTTTTCTTACACTTATTTGGTTGATTGACTAAATTCACAAGTGGTTCATTGAATTGAAACGTTAGTTCTGTCATAATGAATAAATTGGCCACCCTGCTGATAAAAGGCTGAAGAGAAAAAAATGGGGAGGGGAGGCATAGTGATATTACCTATAGATCCAACACAATTTCAGGATTTTTCTCTCTGATTTTAACTTTTTTTAAATGTTTTTATTGATTTGTTAGAGAAAGAGGAAGAGTAAGAGATAGAGAACTAGAAACAGTGATGAAAGAGGAACATTGATTGGTTGTCTCCTGCTGGGGATTGAGCCTGCACCAAGGGAATGTGCCCTGAAGGGAATCGAACTGGTGACCTTTTGGGTCATGGGTCAAAACTAAACCACTGAGCAACACTGGCTGGGCTAGAGATGTTATCTTATTCATATTTCAATTATTAGCAATTAGGATTTTATGTGGCAAATGAAAGATACTTTTAAAATGTTGTTTAATAAATGAATAAATTAGGGTATAGATTCTTGAAACTCTTATCACCATATTACCAGAGCAACTAGCTTGCAAACAAAAGCAAAACATTGAACTATTTTCCAAACCTCTCCATTTGAATTAAATAAAATCCTAAGCCCACTGGTATGCAAATTTTATTTTGTTTCTTAATGATGTAAATCTAGAGGGAACATTTAGTATGTGCTTGTGTTATTTCAAGAAGTGCAAAGGTAATTCAGGCACAGTTTGCCACCCCCAAGAACTCCCACTTACAATGAAGTCACAAGCAAAGCCTTTTTACTGTACAAAACTTCCCTTTTATTGAGAGTTTGCTTAAAAATGTAAGCAATTTTACAGATGGAAGATCTGAGAAATTTCTTAAAGGTCATATTTCCCCCCAACATTAGTTTCTTCTCCTTACAATCTCACTGTGCTGGGTAGAATTTTTTATTATTTACTGTTGAATTTAAGGTTATGGTGACTTTAAACTCATGTGCTTTTGCTATCTGAGAGCAGAATTTTTCTATAAGCATATAAGCATTAAGGTGACCTTCTTACCTTGTTCTTGTGCATGAACAGCAGCCCTTGCCACACATAGCACAATAAAAGGAAGAAGCAGTTTCCTAAGAAAAGAAAAGTAATTGGGAAACTTAGTTGGACAATTTACAACCTATAAATCATATAAAATACAAAACGAGCTATAGTACAAGATTAATAATTAAGCTATTATTTTAATTAACACAGTATTTTAATATTCATATTAATTATGGGCAAGGGCTCTGGATTTAAGTTCCAGCATTATTCACTTTTCTTTTGGTTAATCCTCACCCAAGGATAGTTTTCCATTGATTTTTAGAGAGAGTGGAAGAGAGAGGGAGAGACAAGAGAAACATCGATGTGAGAGAAACACATTGATTGGTTGCCTCCTGCACACGCCCCAAACAGGGCCCAGGCCGGGGAAGAGCCTGCACCAAGGTACGTTCCCTTGACCAGAATCGAACCTGGGACCCTTTGGTCCTCAGGTCGATGCTCTATCCAATGAGCCAAACTGGCTAGGGTGCATTATTCACTTTTATTGCTCTGTGCCTCAATTTCTTCATCTATTAAATCTATCTCATAAGGTGTTTTGAAGATTAACTGGAAAACTTCATGTGTATCACACAAAACAGTACCTGGAACATAGGAAGCACTCAATAAATGTATAGGTGACATTATTATTATCATTATATTATTTTATATTAAATTAAATGACCATACATGCAATTTATGCAAAGTAATAAAAATTTACACAACTTATAGTCACTTAACCATAGATTGATGGAACTAGTTATTCTTTAAATGAAATCCTATCTAATAAAGAGGGAATATGCTAATTGACCCTCATGCCATCACAAAGATGGTGGCGCCCATAGCCAATAAGGAGGGAATATGCTAATTGACTGCCCCACCCTCAAAGATGGCCCACAGCCAATAAGGAGGGAATATGCTAATTGACTGCCATGCCCTCAAAGATGGCAGTCCCCACAGCCACAAGATGGTGGCACCCAGTCCCCTCAGCCCCACTGGGGTGGCAAGCACACCCGGCCTTGCCGTGCGCCTGCTTCCAGAGTCCCCCAGTCCCCTCAGCCCCCCAGCCACCCAGGGCTGGCCCGAGGCACAGACAAGCCTCGGATGTCGGCTGCCCAGCCACCCAGGGCCACCCAAGGCTCAGGTAACCAGGGCCGGCCAAGGCTTGCGCTGCTGGCAGTGGCAGCAGCAGAGGTGTGATGAGGTATTGCCTTCCCCTGATCGCCGAGTTGCCTCCCATCCCTGAGGGCTCCCGGCCTGTGAGAGGGGGCAGGCCGGGCTGAGGGATGCCCCCCTCCAGTGCATGAATTTTCATGCACCGGGCCTCTAGTTTATAATAAAAGCCATTTGAATATCATAATCAAATCACTTGTACTAGATGATTCTTTGCCTCTGAAAATAGCAATGGCCTGTAGATATCAACATGAACATTTTGATTAGTAGTATTTGTGAGCACAATACCCCATCACTGCAAATCAAAATCTTCATTTATATAGATTAGCTAAGTGAAAATATTTTGTGTGATTTTTTTCAGTATAACCACATTTTTGATATTTTGTTGAATAGTCTTCATAATTGGCTATATCTACTTCCCAAGTGAAAAATCATAGAGATAATTTTAAAAATTAATGAGCATGCTGACAACAATATTTTATTACTTCATTTTTGCTAATATAGATCCTGATTCTGCTTTGTATTCTAACCCAGGGATTCCTCAAAGGACATTTCTGTAAACTACTCTTCTGCAAGGAGTGATTACAGAGCCTTCTGAAAATTAATTTTTATTTTTATTAAGTTCCTGGTGTATTAGTAGTAATTGGTACATTGTCTATTACCAACAATACTTGTTTACCTTTACCAACTAGTATAAAGAGCCTCTTAATCTAAGAGAGATGATCTTTTACAAAGTAAGACAATAATATAAAATTATACTATTCTATTTGATATAAAGGAAATAACATTTGTATTAAAATGATATTAATCATTTTTTAGTAAATGAAAAATGCACATTCTGTGGTTATACTCAGTTCAGAGCACCATTTTTATAAGATAGGGTTATAAATTTCAACTGATATGGGCAAATAAGTGAACCATATACAGTATTTTAATGAAGCCTATAAAGTATTTCCAGACAGGGTGTCATCCATTTAGAACAACGCTTTTCAAATGCTAGTTTACCAAAGAACCACTTGAGATTCTTGTGACAAATGCAGATTCTGGGCCTTGCCACAGAGATGATTAATAAATTTGAAGAAGATCCTCAGAATGTGTATGATTCCAACTAAGTGATTCTAATATAGATTACCTGTATACCAAACTCTAAGAAAAGCATCTTAGGCCATTTACTATTTATAGTTACATTGTACTGAAAATATACTTAAGTAAATATAATTTTGCTCAAATCATGTCACAAATCATGACACAATTATTTAATTTAAAAAAAAATCTTTTTTACTGCTCTACATTGGTGGTTTTCAAACTTTAGAATGCATGGGAATTACCTGGAGGGCTAAAGATTGCTGGGCCCCACCCTGAGATCTTCTAACTCACTAAGTCTGGGGTGCAGCTCAACACATTGCATTTATAAAGAGTTCCCAGGCAATGCTGATGCCCCTGAACTGGGATCACGCTCTGAGGACCACTCTTCAGGCATCGATGACACTGGAGGGGTGATGCAAGGCCCACACGTTTTGGATCTGTTTTCACCTTGGCTGCACAGTAGAACCACCTGGGGAGTTTTAAAAACTCCTAATACTTGGTTTCTGCCAGTCCTACCTCCACCCCAAGTGACTCTGATTTTGATTTGTCTGTAGGAAAGGGATTTTTAAACACTTCCCAGCTGATTCTAATGTACAAACAAAATTGAGTACCACTGTCGGAGATCACAATGATTTCTCTGGGTTCTCTAGGATGGATCCCAATACAATCTAGAGTTTGTATAAAAGGAGGCTCTTTTCCTTTTAAATTTATATTTTCAACAAATAACTGGCATGACATATATCAGTGAGACTATGAGTGGCTCAGGATTACAGTCACTAGAGGAGAGCACGTCAAAATTATGCTGTTTTGGTAGGAAACGGAATGTGAAAAGAAGCACGTCTCACCTACCAAGGTGATCTGGCGCACTTAGACCAGTGGTTCTCAACCTTGGCTGCACATTAGAATCACCTGGGAATCTTTTTAAAATCCTGATTTCTGGGCCTCATCCTCCGGAAATTCTGTTTCTTTGTTATGGGGTGGGGCCACAATATTAGTAACAAAGAAACAATTTCCGGAGGATGAGGCCCAGAAATCAGGATTTTAAAAAGATTCCCAGGTGATTCTAATGTGCAGCCAAAGTTGAGAACCACTGCCCTAGAGTCAGCTACCCTGGGTTTGTAACCCCAGTTCTGATACTCCCTAGTTCCTAGAACAATGTCCAATACCTCATAGAGCCTCAGTTCTTCACCTATAAAATGGATAGTTATTGCCTCATAGGGCCCTTATGAGGAGGAAATGATTAATCTGTATGTTTTCTACACACGTTAACAAGTCCATTCCTGGAGTGAGGCAGGAAAATATGAACACATCAACATCATCCCATAACCAAGTGAATTTAGGGAACTATGACAAATCAGTTGAGCCATACCCTATGGAAGTGTACCTCTGTGCTGCAGCTGATGAGTAATGGAGAGTTGGAGATCAATGACTGATTTTATTTCTCTTTTTCTGATTATACCAAAAACTAATAGCCAAGTAAGAAAGAACAGAAAAAGTCCAATTCCTCACCAGGTGTTCAAGGCCCTTATTCAGCTCCAACCTTCTTGTTTTAGCGATATAGATCCCACTATACCTGACACCCCCAAAGTTCCAGCCATCCCACATTATTCTCTACTCCATGGACAGACCGTGTAAGTGCCTGAAATGCCCTCTCAGTTTCCGCCTGTCAGGATGTCAGGTTTCATCAAAGCCTAATTTAAACAGCATCTGTTCCAAGAAATTTCCCATCATCCCTAAAGAGGACTGGCTCTTTCCCCATCTCTGTACTCTTGATGCTTTAACTGTAACTTTATTATAGCCCATATACATTGTACCTTGTATAATTAATTAATAAGTAAATATCTGAGCAAGTAACAGGTCTTCACCTTTTATCCATTTCTTACATGATATTGACACTTAGATATTTTTAAACAGGAAATGAGTACCAATTTCATCTCCAATGATTGAGGAATTCAATTTTTCCCATAGACCTAATTTTTTTTAACTCTTGGGAAAGTAAAGAGAGAAAGGATAAAAAGATAATTTTTTAAAAATCTGCTATGATAGGGTTAGTGGAATCCTTTTTCTTTTTTTTTTCATTGTAACTGTTTTTCTCATCTCTGAGTGGGAACACAGAGGAGATATCAAGCTTAATTGACATAATCAGATTGGTAAAGAGCCACACTCCATCACTGAATAAAATGGATATCTAATGAATTCAAGCTTTCTGGGAAATATTGAGTTGAGCTGGGCTTGTTTATTTGTTTGGTTTTGAGCACCTGCCCCCCATGATGCTGCATTTACTTACAAAGAAAAAACATTTCTACATTAATCATAGTGATAGACTTGTCAAGGGCAGCATCGGTGCTCTGTGCTATTCGTCTTATGCTGTACATATAGTGCTAAGACATGCTGCAGTATTTCAATAAATTAAAGTTATAACTATATTAAGTTGTTGGGGGGAAAAACAAACACAAAACATGGTTAGTTTGACCGATGAACATGTTTGATTCCCGGTCAGGGCACATGCCTGGATTGCTGGCTCAATCCCCAGTAGGAGGTGTTCAAGAGGCAGCTGACCAATGATGTTTCTCTCTAATCGATGTTCCTATCTCTCTATCCTTCTCCCTTCCTCTCTCTCTAAAAAGCAATAAAAATACATTTTTAAAAACATGGTTAAGAAAATAACACTAGACTGGGAGTGAAAAGACTAATTCTGGTTTTATTTATAACTCACTGTGTGACCCTGGGCAGGTCATTTTAATTTTCTGTTATTCAATGTCATAATATAAATTTTATATTTTACACCCTAAATATA